ATCTATCTATCTATCCATCCATCTATCTATATCTATCTATCCATCCATCCATCCATCCATCCATCCATCCATCCATCCATCCATCATCTATCTATCCTTGGCAAGCTTTTGCAGTTTTTGCCCATTCTTCTGTTGCCCATTTGAAGTCATTCTTCAAGGTTTGCCCCCAGCAGCTCTACCAACACACCTTCCTGAATGGCTTGCCATGCCGTACCCATTCTCACTCGTCCCCAGACTTTGCCAGCTCACCCAGATACCTGGGTCGCCATGGCTCCATTTCCAGTGCTCGCCATCCTACCTTCCCAGATTCTAGGACTTCTCCACCTGGATCCCCACTCTCCTCATCTAGGAGAGATGGACCCACTGTTTTATCAGTTGCTCAGAGCAACTTGGGGGCTTTGACGTCTCTGTTTGACTGGCACTGAATGCAAAACAAAGCCAATTTTCAGAGTGGGAAGGCAGACTCACCTCGTTCCACACCGGGTTGGTGTTGTTCTTGATCACCTTTGTTCTCTTTTTCACTCCTAAAAGGAAGCACAGCAGGTGAGCAAATCCCCCAAGGACCTCTTGGGGCAGTTGGTTCCAAAAATATTCTTGCAGGCAGATCTCAGGGGTGGAGCGGAGTCAGGGCAGATGGTCTGGTTCACGGGCTGGCTAAGCCGTGATGTTCCTGGCTCAACTTTTGTTGAGCGGGTTGTGCTACTGTGATTTGTAAACCCTGGACAAAGACTTCTACTGTAAGAAGCCATTACACTCAGATTTATTCCATCAAGCCATGGTTTGTTTGATAGGTGAATTGAAAGGAGAATGGTTTTACCCCTGCACTGAAATGTAGTTTTGTTAAATAAGCCACCATTGGCTACATACACACCTCAAATGAAGCTATAAATCATGGTTTCAAAACCATGATGTTTGGGTAGACATAATAAACCAAATGCACCCCATTAGGTTTTTGCAGGATGGGCAAATCAAGCCAGTGAGTGGCTTAGGGTTCCTGGAGTCCCTTTGAATGCAGCGTGAGCTTGGATGGTCAAACTTGCTTCATCTGAATCAGAAATTGGCTCTTGGAGCTGGTTAAGAGAGGCAGAGCTCATCTGGCAGTCGCTTCTGAATTCTATCTTCGGCAACTCTTGCGTGCTTAATTTTTCCTTGCTGTCAGCCCATAAATTAAGCAAACACGCTGAGCGCTCCAGCTGAAGCACGCAGTGCCCTTTTGCGTTTGTGCAAACTGCCTTGGCAAAGGCCAAAGCAACTCTGGGCGCTGCTCAAACTCCAGAAAGGAAAAGGAAGGGACTCCTAAACAAGGACCCCAGAACAATAGGAGGGTCCCCAGTGCCAAAGGCCGGGCGGAAGGTCCGTCTGGGGCAGCTGCAGCCGGACCCCCTCCCCCTCCCCCCACCTCCTCCCAGTCCAGCGCCAGGCTGAATGCAGCTATATATGGTCACTCAACAGCCCTTTCCCAGAAGAGACAGAGAGCAATAT